GTGAATTAATTAATGGTGGTTATGAGACATTCGATGATATATATATATAGTGTCACTATTCATCATCCAGGGTGCAGAATAAGTTATTCTTCACCCGAGGTAATCTTATGATCATTTCATAATTAAATTACGTTTAGAATTCAAATAGTTACATTCCTATTGATTCACTACGTAAAATTTGACATAAGAAAATAAAAATATAGGTCATAAGACAAGAAAATTTGTAGTTTATGTATATTTTAGACTATATTTTTACGTTTGTAATTTTACATAACATAAAATATTTTTTACGGCGATTATATATTTTCTTACAGTCTCTTTTTACGTCGGAAATAAGACAAAACTTACGGAATGTAAAATTACGGTGCATTGATGGTAAAATAGAAGGGGGTGAAGAATAACTATTCCTCAACCAGGGTGCAGAATAGCGCGACCCTATATATATATATATATTATGATCGATTCTACTATAAATTTTATTTATATATATGCATAACGTGTACAATATGTAGTATCGTAAAATACCAGCAAACGAAAAAGAATTAAATGGAAAACACAAAATTAAATGAAAAAGAAATCATAAACCCAACCCCCTCAACATTTTAATACCGGTTGGTGTCACGTGGGCTCCCTGCCCCCGAAGCTGGCTCGTGCCACGTGGTTGCCCTTTAGCACCGGTTCGTGCTGAACCGGTACTAGGGGGGGCTTTAGTGCCTACATTTTAGCGTCAGTTACCAAACCGGCACTAAAGGGCCTTACGAACCGGTGCTATTGCCCGGTTCTGCACTAGTGATAGTTGACTATTGGTGAATGCATATGTGATTGACATAGACTGTTGAGGTAAGCAGTGGCTCCTCTAGGATGTATTGGCATCCTTCATTATGTAAATTAATGTGTGCTCCATGTCATTTATATAGTTTTATTCAGAAGGGGGAGATAAGGCCGATTGCTCAGGATTTCAATACGGATATCTTACAATAATGTCAGATAGATGTGTAATTAAGTCGTTGAATATGCATTTGTTGTAACCTGACAACAATGTCAGATGATGTATAAATAGGTTATGGATGTATGCATGAGTACCAGTGTAGCACTTGATATTAAATATGCAGTAGCATATAAGACCAACCAAGCATTGAATTCATTACTTATCATGATCGTCTCGGGATAATCGAATATAGGTGCGATTTGCTCCAACCATTCACATGTATAAATGCACAAGCCAAGAAATGCATACACATTTTCAGATTCGAGCCCGATGAGTTTCGTAATACAACAAGGATAGGTCATGGAGGAAGAAACAAGTACGTTGGGGCTTGAGAGGTATCAGGATAGATATTGCTGCGGTTCAGTCGTGTAGAGGAAGTAGAGGAATGATAATTGGAGCAAACTTTGGCAAAGCAATCCGAGAATCACAACTCGCTTGATGAATGCTACGAGTCTGCGGGCCTACAGCTCTCTGACAGACCGCTTGTGTACTGTCTTGAAGATGTGGCTAGAGCAGTAGGAGCCCGCGTCGCACCGGCGGTAGGTGGAACTGTTTCGCCTAGCAGCCTGTTTTATCCTTCGTGAGTCGTTGGGATGGGGATGCAACGTTTTGTACAAGTTCATGCTTTAATTTATGCCCAAATAAGAAGAGTTTTCATCATCCAAAATGAACTTAAGTTCAACACTAGAAGACTGAAACCAAAACAAACTCCAACAAACACAGCATTACATCCAACCATGACAGCTCCAAAACAGCGCTTAGAACTACAAAAGAAGGCTCTTAATCCAGCAGCCTCAACCCAAAGCCAATACGCCTGATCATCGGCCTCCGGCCTCTAGGCCTCTACTACCACTGAATTCAGAAGCAACATTACACGGCCAATAAGACCTAACTCATTGAACAGAAGAAACGGAATTCCAAGTCATGGTCAGCATTATGACGCTGCATTTCCTAGACATGACACCAACATGGGTACTGGCATAAGACAGTATGAGTCAGCTGACCACCAACCATCATAAACAAGACAACGGCCGGCCACAACAGTAGCTCATCACCATGTCTCATGCTCATCCATCGGTTCCACGTCCAATCAACCTTTTGCTACATCAGTCAGTCTTCTTACCCAGCAATCTGGCAATAAAAAGCAAACAGAACCGGAAGTTACATCAGCAATGGAACATTGTATACCACTGTGACATGTAAATACACACTTATCTCAACAGAAATACAATTTCAGTACAGGAAGGGTGCACACAAATCAAACAAATCATGGATGCACATGCTAATCTGGGATCACCATTTGCAAAAACACAAGTGCATATTTAACCAACGGCTTACAAGAAATAGCTCTAGTCACTTTGTTCAACACAGAGAACAATACCACATATCCGTGCTAGCTTCTGCATGATGATGCAGGAAAGGGGCATAACATTCGGCCAAGATACCGAGTTCCGCACTTTTTGAAGCTGCTACAAATTGATCCACGATCCAATAAGGCACAAAGAAATCGAAACTAAAAACTAGGGACCCTGTCAATTTGTGTGAACGACAACTTCCAGAGTTGCTGAAATAACAGACTTAGACAACATCTCTACAATGAACCTCCCAACACAATTTCAGCCTTTCAGGTATTAAGACACCATACTTTAGCATTCTCTGTAGTCCGAACTTCCAACTGAATTTGCATGTCTGCTGACTTTCAGGAAATCAGCCCTTTTTCCGCAAGACACGACATGTCAAATGCCAGATCTAAGAACTAACATGAACAAAAATGCAACAGTTGTACTTTCTAGGATGCTGAAGGGGAAGCAACAAAAAATGATCTCTAAGAGAGATTACAGTTTCCTGAAACTATGTACTGCTGTCCAAAACACAGTGTTACCGAAAAAAAAACGTTGTCAACACGATATTAAATTCACTTAACTAATCGACTTATATAACTTTATAAGTTGCTTGAAAACTGAGACATAAGGTTAAATGTAAGTAACTAAAATGACTAGAAAGTCTAACTAACAATCAAAGACACCAGCAGTTTGATCCTGAACAATATTTTGACAGCCACAATACAATAACAGTAACCGACACAATAATTGCAGGAAGATTTACAAGTTAGTACTGCAAAAGAAACTGTGTATCTAAATACGATGCAGCCATATTTAAATAGAACTATAGAAGCATAAGATATGAGATGCATAATCCATCTCGTGTCCCTTGGCCCTTGTTTCAGACTTTCAGTAGCCACAAATTCACAGGGCCTCACTGCCGGTACAAAATTACACTGGATATATGTCCAACCAAACGTCCAACTCACCTGCATCCGCCTAATCTTTCTAACCTTTTAGGGTGGGTGGAATTTGGACTGCAGATATATAAAGCTAGACTTACTTAAAGTAAACTAGATAAGTAGGATGCTTCACATTGAGTTATATAAAAATCTTCGATATATCATCATGATACGACATAATAGCACAGGCGTAAGTAGAATGATATACCGCATAAATGGCTTGACAGCAACAGAAGGGTTTAGTCCAGCAGTCCTATGAATATGTTGGTCACCTCCTTATTTGTGTCAGCACGGCGCATCCCTATCCTCAACTCAGCTACCCTTTGCTTCTTGATCTTGGATTCTAAAGCACATGCCTTCTCGTCGTCCATGAACTCAAATGCTCTCTTCAGTGTCTCCCCACATGGATGTTGGGCCTGGATGTCCTCCACATAAGAGGTAAGGTTGGGGTACAATTTCTGCAATTCATCAAACCCTTTGTGCATGCCTCTCACATTAGCATCAGTGTCCATTTTCTCTTCATGAGTTTCCCCTTCCTTCTTAAACAGAGCATGGGTGCCACCATTTTGAGCATCACCCATAGCCTCCTTTGGCGTGGGGTTCTCTACATCTTCATCCGTTTTCTCTTTGTCAGACTTTACACCCTTGCTCCTCACCGAAGTTCCACCATTCCGAGCGGTAGTATCCACGGTCTCCTTTGTAGTGCCAGTTTTCACATCGCCTTCCAATTCCTCCTTTTGGTTTCCCCGCTTTCTACTCTTAGCAGGAGTATCAGCAGTGCTAGCCTTCTTTGATGACCCGCCCTTGCTATCTTCGTCTGCCTTCTCTTTGGTGGCCTGCTTTGCTGTACCACTCTTTGAATAGCCCTCTGTTTCATCGGCGCTAGCAGTGGTCTCCTTTGCTGTACCACCCTTTGAATAGCCCTCTGTTTTCTCCTTGCTAGTCTGCCCCTTCTTCTTGCTCTTTGAGGAAGCAGCCTCATTTTGAGCCATGGTGGCTGCAGCGATCTGCTTTGCATTCTCTCCCCACACTTGCTCCGAGAGCTTGAACTTGCGGAGGTCATCATCTTTCTCTGGCAGAGCGCCCGTGCTCACCGCTTTCTCATATCGCTGCCTGATATTCCGCACCTTCTCATACATTTCCGTCTTGGTGACGTTCTTCCTTTCGAGGCTGGCACCAACCGCAGTAATAAGCTCACGAGCGCCCGGCTGGGTGCCATTGGCCTTGACGTGGCGAACAAGAGCCTCCAGGATCTTGATCTCGTCCTCAGTAGTCCAGCGCCTGGGCTGTCCGGGTTTCTCAAGCTTGGTCCACGGCCCAGTCTTCTCCGGCTGGGCCTTGTGCTTCTTCTTACCCTCGCTGGCAGGAGTGAGCTCGGAGAGTGCCTTCTCCGCCGCCCCGGCCTTTGCCTTCTTGGCCGTGCCGGACGGAGAGGGCTCCGCCAAAGACTTACCCTTCTTCTTGTCCTTGGCCGGCGGCGTGGGCTCACCGGCGTCGGATTCGAGCTTGGAGGAGGCGATCTGGCGCAGCTCGAAGGCCTCGGCGTCGATCTTGCCCGACTCGGAGGACTCCTCGTCACTTTCATCCGACGAATCGGCGTCGGCCTCGGCGTCGTCGGCCGTGGCGGCGGAAGGGGGTTTGGGGGAATTTTGGGTCGCGGGGGTGGCCTCCGCCTCCTCCTCCTCCTCCTCCTCCTCCTCCGCCGAGCTGGACTCGTCGGCGGAAGACTCCTCCTCCGGAGGCGGGGGCGGCGGCGGCGACGGCTGGCGGCGCTTGCGGCCCATCCTCGCCGCTAGGGTTTCGGGGGCAGGAGCGGCGAGCAGGGGTGGGTGTTGGGTGGAAGTGGAAAAGAGGAGACGGCAGCGACGCGGTGGCTGCGCTGTGAATTCGTTAGATTATTGAGGGCATGAACGGAATTTCGCGTAGGCCTACGCCACGTTGTTTTCTTTTAGGAAATGCTGCCGATTGTTTTTCTTGGACAAGCCCGGGGCCTGGAGCTTGGCCCAAATCCTGGTTCCGCCCATGCTCCTTGCAACCTTACCTTTTTCTTGGACAAAAAGTAGTCAAGTAAGCTCTTTGAAACTTCAAAGTAAAACTTAAGCACGTAAAATATAAGGCCCCACCTGATCCGATAATGAAATTTTCTTACTATGTTACTTGGTACTACTAAATATGAAGTAGCATATGATGTCAATCAAGCATTGAAACACACCCACGTACATGCGTTGTGATGTCATTGATTATCAGGATCATATCCCGATCATTGAATATATATTTGGTCCATTCGTTTCACATGTATAAATATACATGATGCGAGCTGGATATGCATTTTGTGAACCTAGACCATGCACGACACCGCTATAGCTATAGAAAGGGGGACAAACAGTATCCTTGTGGCTTGAGAGGTATCGGAAGAAATATTGCTTTACTACACTTGCATAACGGGGGCAATGCATTAACCATTTGAGCAAATGTCATGTATCACGGTTGAGAATCACAGGTCATGTGTACGGGTGTCGGGTGTCGATTCAGCAGCTCTCTACTGAAGAGACCACAGAGTTAATCTGTTTTGACGACTCTTGATGTCCCCAATCTGTACTATTAAAGGGAGTTCGGGCATCGCCGTTTTGTACCCACAACCTCCTTCGATCGATGGCCCTACCACCGCCGCTTTTTTTTGTTTGTTGATCATTCTGTCTCATGTTGGTCTTCTCAGTGAGAAAACGGTTCTACGTGCCCCAAGCAACACATCATGCGTCTCTCCCTCCCAGTTTGTCTTGCCACTGGTGCATGTCCCCATTTGCCATCTCCCTCCCGCCCCGCAGCGACGCCGACAACCGGTGGTGACCAGAGACCAACGAGACTACATCCCTTAACTCTCTACCCTCCCTCTACCAATGATAGTGGGGCATTGTCCACCCGACCTCCAGGCGACACCAACGACGATAGAGTCCAAGGAGCTGGACTCCTTGGAGGAAGACTCTGGTGGCGACAGCTCGTGGTGCTTGTGGCCCATCCTCCCCGCTAGGGTTTCAGGAGCAGGAGCGACGGAGAGGGTGGCGAGCAGAGGGTGTTGGGTAGAAGTGGAAAAGAGGAGGTGGCAGCGACGCGATGGCCGCACTATGAATTTGTTAGAGCATTGAGGGCATGAATGAAATTTCGTGTAGGCCTATGCCATGTTGTTTTCTTTTAGGAAATGCCGCCGATTGTTTTTTTTAGCTTTCGTTTTTCGAGATTGGCTTCTCCGACCAATGATTTTTCTAAATAGATAGGCTTCTATTTAGCCTTTTTCCCCGGTGATTTATAAAATGTCATGGCTTTTAAAAATGCATGTGGATTTAAGAATTATCTATGAACTTTGAATATGTTCTGAATTTAAAGAAAACTTCATGAATTTATAAAATGGTTGCAAATTTGAAAACATGTTTGCGATATTAAAATGCTCAGGAGATGCCTTCTCCGTCCCAACTCGAGCCTTCTTGACCTTGCCCAATAGAGCGGGCTCAAGCATCGTCTTCTCCGCCCCAACCTTAGGATTCTTCTTAG